TCTCATAGCCTAATAGCTAGAAATAGTATTCTCATAGTTAAGATTCTTTCAATAATAGCCAAAAATAGGCTATTGGAAGTAAACTAATAACCAAAAATAGGCTATTGGAAGTAAACTAATAACCAAAAATAGGCTAAGGCATTAAACACACTCATAGCCCAACAGCCAGAAATAGTATCCTCATAGTTAAGATTTGATTTTCAATAATAGCTAAAATAGGCTATTGAAAGAATTCACCACAGAGGTGCACACCCTACTACTTTGAGGGGGAGAAACTTAACTTATAGAACATGAAATGAGAGTAATTAAATTGTCTTTATGCACACTTGAATGGCTGAATTTGTTTTCCTTCCAGTAGGCATTGCACACAGCATTCCACCAAGTAATCCATTTAGGTGATGACAAAATGAGACTTCAATTCATGCATTTCTAACGACATTCCACTGCTATGATAACTAAATAAAGTAGACAGAATAATCCCCCAACAAAATAAAAATGCAAGAAAAAATAACTAAAAGTTTGAAGGTGGAATAAAAGGGGTATAAATTCACAAAATAGACAGAATAATATCACTTTGGTGTTATCAAATTCACAAAGCAGAGATGGATTAGAGAAGCTGGAGCATAATTGTTGCAAACCCAAATAGATAATATGCTTATGAACAAATGAAATAAAAAGAATTTAGTGAGCGAACCCCAGATTGAGACGAAAATTCAATCTCATGAAGCAGAAAGTGATTAGAGAAGCTGAAGCGGTGTCCGTATGGCGTACACCTCTTCCTCCGCCGAATCTTCATACATCGAGCGCCTGTATTCATTGGCCAAGCATAGACTCTTACAGCAATTTCTTCGATTATGTTATGAAGGATATCACTCAGATCCAGTCACTATATTCCACTTCCGTTGAGATGGCAGAGCAAAGGAAGGCTAAGAAGACATAAAAAGCGTCGTAGATGCGCTGGAGTCTAGAACGTAGAAACCCAGAAGTAAGAGGATTTCGTGTATTTACAAAAATGTCCTTGATGGCGAGCGGGAAACCCACTTAAGTCGATTAATATAGATATAGATAGATTCGTACTATCACACCTCACATAGCTAGCTAAGATAATCACATGTAAATATGTAATCATAACATTCTTCCCTTGATCTACGCATGTAAGACAAACATCATTAATCCATACATGTTGAAAGAGAACTATGTGTTGTGTCTTTAGATGTACGTATAATAATTAGTTGTTTTACTTAATAGTATTTGATTTAATTTGTCGCCAGCTCTAATAATTATTTACTTCTAAGGTTTCTTTGTCAATTTTTACCGGTTTTTACATGACTTATAGAAAACGGAATATATGTAAAATTGTAATATTTAGAATGTATATTAGACTTGACCACAAGGTCCACAACACGCGCAATCAAGGAATGTCATGAATTTGACAAGTGGGAGTGATTCAAGTGGACCACTTCTCGCACTTAAGGTCTTACGTTAAGTGATCCTCTAAGGTCTTACGTTCACGACTCTAAGAAAGTGAGTTTTGGAGGATTTTCTCAAATGAAAATCCTCTAACTCCCTAGATCTAGTTCAAGTAGTCGAGCAATCAGTAGTTCGTTAAGCCTGTCGATGTAGGCCCTCATTCAAGGGGGCATGTAGAAGTTAGCTTCGTGCTGGGAACATAAAGATGTTTGACCAATCAATGACAATTCTCATATGTTTTGTACTGGGAATTAAGAGGGTTTCTTGTGTGTGATTATGTACAAATACCGAACCAAACCAATAATTCAGGTGACTCGAATTTAGATCTCTCAAGGGTTTGGACCTTTGGGGTGGGTTCTTAGGAGCCTAGGTTTAGTCTAGGTGCTAACAAAAAAAAGGACCGCCTGAAGCTGCCGAAAAAAGGATCGCCTGAAGCTAGGGCTGGACTCGGGCCCGGCCGGGCCTAGGGCCAGAAAATTGGGGCCCGAGCCCGAACCGCGGGTGGCCGGTTCCGGTTCCGGTTTCGGGCCAAACCGGGCCGGGCCGAACCGGTCCATTTTTTTTTTGTTCTCCTATTTAACCCCCTACCCCTCCCCCTCAACCCCAAACCACCTCAAATGGCCCAAAATACCTAATCCAACCCAAAACTTAAAAAAAATTCAAAAAAACAAAAATTAAAATCCGGCCCGGACCGGGCCCGTACCGGCCGGGCCGGTTCGTCTAAAGCAGGGCCCGAGCCCGGACCGCCCATCACCCGGGCCAGGCCAAACCGAACCGCTGGACCCACCGGGCCCCGGGCCTGGCCGGGCCAAACAGTAACCGGGCCGGGCCGGTTCCGGGTCGGGCCGCCCGGCCCGAGTCCACCCCTACCTGAAGCTGTCAAAAAATGGATCAAAAAAAGGATCGCCTGATGCTAACGAAAAAAAGAATAACATAAGTCTCTTGAAATAACCTTGCCACAAGTTCAACTAGGGGTGGGCAAATGGGTATTGGAACCGCGGTCCGGTCCGGTCCGGGTAATGGTGGTTCGGGTCCAAAACGGGCCGGTTCCATATTTTGTTACTACAAAACGGTCCGGGTAGGGCCGGATATTAATTTTTTTTAGGTTTGGGCCGGTTCCAAAATATAAAAATTCCGGGTACCCGGCCCGTTATATATGTAAGTTCTACGGAGTATTTTCTTGTGGAAATATCCCGTTCTATCTACTATGATTTCATTACTACTCTAGTAATGAATCATATTTTTGTAAACCATATTTATTTTGGTCATATTTATGTAATTATTTCTTTTAACTTTCATAAATAAACTTTCACCTTTACACATTTAATTTTTTTTATTTCAAAAGTAATCTAAATCTCAAATCAAACCCAAATAACCAGACTCACAAGTTCTATTATCTCCCGACGATTTGCTCCTCTTTCTTCTCGATCTTCTCTGTTTATCTCTTTCGAGTTCATCTACCCGTTGTTCTCCTGTCGGCCAGAGAGATTGTTACCTCTTCACCGACGTAGGTCAATAAAGGTATCGACGGAGGGCTTGCGAGGCAGAATCGAACGTTTCACGTCATGTGCTCAATCCCTCGATCTGCCTTATCCCTTGAGAAGCTAGGGTAACAAAACCGATTTGCTCAAATCCTATTCAATTCGTTTTATTTGCTATAACTTGTTCATCGAATTCTGATTATTCTATTAGTTAAGCACGCCAGAGAATTTGATTATATGTTATACCTACTGCTATGTTAGATTTATTTGGCCGCATCTAGAAAATTCACTTTGGATCGAAATGGGGTGGCTTCCGTGGAGGCCTCCCTTCCCGAGCTATCTAAAGATTTCTACATAAACTACGGATAAAGATGAGTCCTTGATAAGGTAATTTGTGTTTGTATCCATCAAAATAATGCATTTCCACCGACTACTATGTAAAGGCTTGTGAAACTTAGCACTAGTAGCTCATTGTCCTTTAGCTTTGATGTCAAATTAAAAGTTAGGAGTCTTAATGGATGTGCAGGTGCGAACTCATTCGGGCACCAGCTAGCAGCTTGGGGAAAAACGTACTGGAAGTTCTTAGATATGTTTCAAGGTGCTAACATTGCCCTATACACCGTTTCGGCGTTTCCCTGACGGACTACTTTGAGTATATAGAAGACAATAATGGATCTCTCAAAAACAAGATGCTGGAAAGTAAGAATCTTTTTTAGAGCATTGTCACTCACCCTTCTTTCACCCAAAAGCAATTCCTTCTATTACAATATGGATCTTTCGGTACTCACAATTCATCTGTATATTTCTATTTGCTATAATCAATCAATTTGTGTATATAGAGATTGATATATGTGGTTTGTTGTGCTTTTTTTACTTTTGGCCATAGATATTGAATTGCCCAGAAATCGGACAACAGCAGGTTTGAAGAATGCAATGGAGGCAGCTTTTAGCCATTTACCTTGCATAGTATCATGGTATGAACTATTAAGACCTACAGATTGCAGAGGAATTACTTGAATGTGATTGGTTGTTAGTTTAGTATTGAACTATTAACTAATAAAATCAATTTGGGAACATACACTATCCTTTTGATTTTATTTTGAAATTAATTGATTATTGTCTAAGTATTTCAAACATTATTTAGGGCCATTTTCTTTCTATGATTGAAATTAATCATTTTCTTCCATATCCTTTAGCCGTTCTTAATTGAATATTTTTAATCAATCACAGAACATCGTCTTTCTCCATGGATGAAAGACCCTGGAATTGCTTATTTATCGGCTTAGTATTGTGGTCCCGTTTTTTATTAGTTCTGTCCGATTATTCTAATGTGTAAATTGAACTAACAAATTTTTATTAGTTTTGTCTTGACGTTATTCTAGATATCATTTGTATATATTACAAGAGGATTTCAATTCTAGATGATAGATTAGCACACTCGTTATTTATTTATTTATTTGCTAGGTTGCTAACAAATAGTAAATACATTGGAAATAGTCGTTTCTCTTATCTCAAGTCCTTCTATACTGCCTTCATAGTTATTTTATTCTCATTGCAGGCGCTAGGAGAAAGGACATGAAGATGATAATAATATTGAAAGTATGAATGTGGAAAATGAACACATTGCACATGTTTACTTCACCGGTTATTAAACGGTGCTTATTAAGACCCGTGTTAATAAGCGGCGCATAAAATAAACAATGTTGTAAGACCGTGTTTACTTCAAACGGTTTCAAACACCGCTTAACATTAAAATGTCCAAAATAACCTTATACATATATACACACACAAACATTCATGAACACAAGTATATAATATAATATAATATGTGTACCCACACCCTAACCCCTTACCCACCCTACCTTACCCCGACCCCACCCACCCCCTACCCCACCCTACCTACCCTACCACTACCCGACCCCACCCTACACTACCGCGGCCCTACCCCCGACCCCATATGCCCCTATCACATCAACCCCACCCTGACCCCACCTTACCCCACCTTACCCCAACCCCGCCCCTACCCCTACCCTACCCTACCTTACCCGACCCCACCCTACCCCTACTCTACCTACCCGACCCCACCCTGTTGCAACCCTACCCCCGACCCCACTGCACCTACCCTGCCCCTAGCGCCTCTATCACATCGACCCGACCCCACCACCCTAGGTATAGGGTGGGGTAAGGGATGGGGTCGGGGTATAGGGTGGGGTGGGGTAGGTGGAGTAAGGGTACAGGTAGTGGTGGGTTGGGTAGGTAGGGTAGGGGTGGGGTTGGGTAGGTAGGGTAGTGGTAGGGTGGGGGTTAAGGCTGGGTAAGGGTAGAGTCAGGGTAGGGTAGGGGTATGGTGGGGTCGGGTAGGTGGGTAAAGGGTGGGGTAGGTAGGGTAGGGGTAGGTGTGTGGTCGGGTAGGTAGGGTAGGGGTGGGGTCGGGTAGGTAAGGCAGTGGTATGGTGTCGGGTAGGGGTAGGATGTGGTAGGGTTGGGTTGGGTCAGGGTAGGGTAGGGGTGGGGTGGGGTAGGGTAAGGGTAGGGTAGGGTAGGGTAGGGGTAAGGTGGGGTCGGGTAGGTGGGGTACGTGTAGGGTGGGGTCGGATAGGTAGGGGTGGGGTAGGTGGTAGGGTGGGATCTGGGTGTGGGTAGGGGTGGGGTCGGGTAGGGGTAGGGTAGTTGGGGTAAGGGTAGGGTGGGGTTGGGGTTGGGGTCGAGGTGGGGCCGGGTAGGTAGGTGGGGCATGGGTAACAATAGGGTAAGGGCAAGGGGTAAATTCGGAAACTGAAAAAGCTTAAAGTGTCGCTTTGCCGCTTAATTAATACATGGGGGGTGGTATGCTTAATAAGCGGCACTTTAAGCACCTCTTTCGGTTAGTAAGCGGCTTTTTAAGCAGCGTGCGTGTTTACTTCACCTGTCTTACTAACCTAACTGTGACTTTAGCAGTGAAGTAAACACCTCCATAGTGTTAAACCGGAGGAACTGTGTGTTGTGAATTTCTGATGCATAAGAAAAGAAGAAATCACGTGAAGCAAAATCAAACAATATATTAGATAAATGTAAAACTTTAAATAATAGATTGAGTTATAAATGTTTCTTTTTGTTGCATCTTGTTGTATCTTGTTGCATCATAAATGTTGCTTTTTGTTTCACTATGTTGCTTTTTGTTGCATTATGTTGCTTTTTGTTGCACCATGTTGCTTTTAGTTATTTATAGGTGATTTTGATTTTTCGTTGTTTATTTAGATCTAAGTTTATCTTTGTTATTACTTTTTTAAAGTAAAAAATCATATGCATATTTATATTCAATCACCTAAAATGATAAATTTGTGTTTATGAATATAAATCAACCACAAGAAACAAAAACAAACAATAAAAACAAATAATTTCAGAGTTATTGATAAAAGGAAACAAAAAGCGACAAAAAACACAATTATATACTCTGTATTAAGTATTCTTTTTGTAACAATTTAACAAAATGAATTACAAGTTTCATTTTTTCAACTTTTTCAATTGTTCAAATGAAGTTCTTTTTCATATTCTATATTTTTTAGTTTTATATTTTTCATGCCTTTTGGTTTAATTAATTTTTCTTCTTTTTAATTTTGTCGAAGAATTTTAATTTCTACTCCTATTTTACTTTATAGCATTTAATTTAGTTTTAAATTTTTTCAAAGTTATACATCATTTATTGGATTTAGACCTTTTTTACTTTTTATTTATTTCCATTTCTAAACGAATAACTATTTCATAAAAGTTTCTGATTGCCTTTCATAATTCTTAATATTTTTCAAAAACATTTTTATAATTTGTTATTATTTTTTAATATTATTATATTTTATAATATTTGTTTATTTTTACTTTTTTGAGAAGTGTTTTTAGTTTTCCTTTTTTATTTATATTTTTTTATTGATATTTGATTTTTTGTTTTATACTTAATTTTTATACAAAATAAGGGGCATATGAAGTCTTCTAAAAAATTAACACTTATAAATGTTACAATTATATATATATATATATATATATATATATATATATATATATAATTGTTTTATACATACTTTTTGTACAAAATAATGGGGCATATGAAGTTTTTTAAAAGATTAACATTGTGAAAGAATGTTATTTTTCTTCAATTTTTCCTCTTTACTATTTTATACCTTTTTCATTTTTAGTTTTGAGTTTTGAATTTCAAAATTTTCTATACATTTCTTAATATTTTTTTGATTTATGTTGCTAATTTAAATTATGTTTTTTTTTTTAATTTAACTTGCTTGTGTTCAACTTTGAATTTTTACTATGCATTATTTTATTTTAGTATTGATTAATTTATTATTTTTAAAATATTATCTTATTTTTTAACACTTATAATATTTTCTAGTTATTTTCATCTTTTTTACACTACTAAATATTTAGTGTTTTGTATTTAAAAATATGAATTGGATAATTCTTGGAGTTTGTAAAAGTTGGAGTTTGTAGAAATTTAGCAACGATGGTGTATAGAGTGGGGGTGGGAGCTTCCCACGTTCGCTCCCCTGGAGCATGTATTCCGGTGGTGCGGTTCAACGTATGGTCTACTTTTGAAAAGAAGAGATTAGTTAGTTTATTTTTGAAATAAAACTTTAAACAATTAAACTGGGAGTACCATACGATAATCGTCTCTCTAGGGTTGGGCTCCTTAGCCGCCTAGTGTAGCTTTTCCCTTCCCAATTCGTTTCGGATCAGCTTTGGCAGAAAAGTTGGTACGGAAACGGAGGTGGTGCAAACTGTTTTCCTGGGTGCTTTCAACAAGTGCAGGGGCAACAATCTTGCTCTTTTTCTTGTTCGAGTTGCTCTTTGTTGTGTGCGAGGAAGGCCTAGTTTTCGGATGAGATCTGGTATCTACTTCGGTGAAGCGGGAAGGCGGATGGAAGCTTCAAACAGCTGGACAGCGGAGGAAAAAACAACTAGTGGCAGTTTTGCTATGACAGCGAGACAAGGAGGAATGAACGGGCCCCGTGTATTCCAGATTTTGATCGTCAATGGAGAATCAATTGGTGTGGTACCGATGGTACGCCCCCCTCCAGAACCACCACCAAGGGCTGATCGACGTGATTTGGAGTTTGATTATTTATCGTTTCTGCATTTTAATTTTCAGGTTAAGACGTTTGTGTTTTGTTGTTATTTTATTTTATGTTGTAAGACTCTTGCATTAGGTTTGGAGAATGAGAGGTCTACGGTAATCATCATTGGCTATATGTTGCCCAATTTAGGTCTAGCGAGTTATATTGCTTTGTCAAAGGTGATTAACTCAGAATCTCGGCCAAGGGCGGATGGTTACATGTGGTTCTTTTGTTATCCTGTACCCTGCTGAATGCTATTTTATTAATCCAAAGTCACTTTGACGATAAAAAAAAACTTTAAAAATGAAAAAGGTGATATTACTTTTAGTTTTTAGTCTATTTGTGTAAAACTACCTATTTTCTTAGCTTTAGTCTTAGCCCATTGGCCGAATAGCCCGTTAGCCCTTTATTGAGTTGCTCTACGCCTCTACCAAATTACCAATTCAGCGTTTCAAGCTTTAGCGTCTCTCACGCACGACTTCAACCTTGACGACGAACGACTATCGCGCATGGAGGATTGGAGAGAGTGCCTAGTCTCCAGTCGGCCGACCCCATCTCTGGTTCAGCAACATCAGCTCTGGTTTCCAATAGAGTTCCTGCAGGGATTTCCTTAGCGATTGAGAGCGTAGTAAGTGGCAGAACTTCTTCTTTTACCTTCTCCGTCCTTCATCACCGGGAACTTGCTTCTCTCTCGGCCACTGCTCACTCTACAGAGCAAATGTAACTCTCTTCCATCTCTGGCTCTATATATCTCTATGAGATATGAAATTAGGGTTCATAATACTGTTAGTTTGATACTCGTTCCGATTTCAAATTTGCAGTTTCTTCTTGTTTTAGTATGTTTTGGATTTCTGGGTTTCTATTGAATGCATCATCTGTGTTGTTTTGTCATGTTTCTTTCCATTTGTTGCATAGCTCTGTCTTGAACATCCCTGGTTGTACACTTCCAATTCTATTGGCTGCTCTTCATTCTTCCCACCCTTCAGATACACTGCTACAATAATGCATCACCATCCCACCACCATCATTAGTAGTTCTCGTTAGGGATGGGCACGGTCCGGTCCAATATTTGGCCGAACCCGTACCCGTACCGTTACTATTGAAACGGTTCGGTACGATTCGGTCTTAGACCCAAACCCGTTCGGTACGGTCCATTTTCAAACGGGGCGGTACCATGCCATACCAATACCAAACAATGTCACTTTTTCCAGGTGTTTAAGAAAAAATTAAAGTTTAGCCATCCTCCAAAAAATCCACACAATTTATCAATTTTCGTATATCATACTACCTTCGTTCCAAATTGATTTGCAAAGTCAATCTTTTTTGGTCAAACAATTTCTTTTTATTCACTTAATTAGAATTTCACTTTTTAATTATATTCTAATTTGGCCTTTCAAAAAAACTACTCCGTACTTCGTATATTTTAATTTGGATTTTGCAACTTTAGAGAGATTTTAATGTGGTTTCTAAATATGTAAATTTTAATTATTAAAAATTGTATTAATTATCAAGAACTTAACATTAACTTTGACAAAAAAATGTTGGCTTTGCAAATCAATTTGGGACGGATGAGGTAATTAATATATTTTAGATAAACTATAGTAATACAAATTTAATAAACCATACTTCGGTCCGGTTCGGTCCGGTACCGGTTCTCATTTTATGAGAACCGGTCATGGAATTGTTTGGAACCGGTTCGGGACAAAAAAATTTGAGATCCGTTTCAAACCCCGTTTATCAGTCCGGTACCATACCGGTCTGGTTCGGTATCATGCCGGTTCGGTATTTTTGCCCACCCCTAGTTCTCGTGTAATCAAATCACATAGATCCTATATTTTAATCATCAACATTGTCCTCCATCTTTAATTGATATTAGGGAATCTATTCACATTTCCTAAATATGTTGTAATATGTGCATTCATCTATCAAGAATATAATAACTATCCATCCATATAGCAGAATCTTATTCTATTGAGTATGTTACTATCTTGAAACTTGCCAATAGGCCTGGACTCGGGCCGGGCGGTCCGACCCGGAACCGGCCCGGCCCGGCCACTGTAGCAACCGGCCCGGCCCGAGTCCAGGTCTACTTGCCAATAAACTATACTCCCTATTATTGATCTTTGGAACTTCATAAATTTTTACAATTTTTAAGACATAGAAACAAGAACCAAAAAATCTGAACCGGACCGACCCGTTTCAAATGAGCCGGGTAAAGCCTGGTTCCTATTTTGAAAGTTGTAATACCCGGACCGGATCGACCCGTACGGTGGAACCGGCGGTTCCATTTTATTTTGCATTACCCGACCCGGCCCGTGCCCACCCCTAAGTTCAACCCATCATCAGGACTCCTTCAAGAATACAACTCTTTGTCTGTGTTATAAAGGGGCATCAGTGCATCACACATTCTTTGCACCTCACAAGAGAGGGTGGGGTGTGAAGCATAAAACTCCAAAAGTCAATTGTGATGACACTAATTGTGAATTTGTGAGAGCAGGTTTCTTCGTTCCAAAGTCCCAATCAAATGGTCGACAAAATCTTCCACATTTATAGACGAGAAGCTATAATCAAATTATTTGAGCCACATTTGATTATCGCAATCATCAAATACTTCCATCAAAATTCAAACTTTGGAAATCTCAAAGCCCTAGAAAAGACACAATAACGCTGGTTGAACTACTGTCTCTAACCATAAATTTTAAATCGTGTTAGCCAATATTAAAACTGAATGTTACATGTTTGCAAATTAGTACTATTTGACTAGACCACATTATTGAGGGGTCGCAATCTGGAAGGATTCATTGAATCTTTTCCGTTCTATTTCTCATCCCATTGTAACCTTAGACTATTTGTTCTCTTGTATCTTTGCTATCTTTTAATAATAATTTAGTTATTTTATTTTCAAAAAAAATCTGATGTTACATTCCAAAAAGTTCATCACGATAATTTTATTTCTAGATGTTACCATTAATTGCTTCTTTTGAATAATGTATGCCCTCAATATTCAGAGCAATACAAAGTTATCATCTTTTTTAGTAAAACACTTTCAGGAAAATTAGCCTGCTAAATTCAGTCACTTCGTTCGAGTTTCAGTTTTCGCAAACAAGAACTTGAACAAAAACCCTCTTAATTCGATCAAACAAAAACCCTCTTAATTCGATCAACTAAAATGGGCAACTTTGTATTATTGTATTATTTGTATCTAGTTTAGATTTTGGCTCTTAAGGCCACCAAATACATTGAATCTATTACAATTTCATAATGATATGATGGTATTTCTGTTTCAGTTATTAAATTGTAGCCACCCATTTTTATCCTATATACCTAAATATCTGATAGAAGAAAACTAGAACCCTATAATTAACTTCCGGTTCTCAAATTTTGTTACAAAATTCCAATTCTAAGACTTAAAATTCCAAGTCCCATGATAGCTTTTTGGAACGAATGAAGTTCTTAATATGCATCAACATGATATTATTTCTTAACCAAAGGCAAGAATAATGACAGAACATTGGCAAAAGATACCTAAACTATTAGTCTATTAGAAATAATCGGTTATGGTCCTAGTTTTGCAAATAGGGATAGACATGAGCCGATTTAGGACTTCTGGTCCCCCTTAATATAGTATTGTAGACTTGTAGTGATCAGAACAAGTCAAGTTCCAGATCAATGGTTCTAGATCTGATTCTGGTCTGATTTCTTTCCTAATAGATCAGTAATCTTTAAAAAATAAGGTAAACAGCAGCAGTATTTTGTAGGAAACAGATTGGAAAATAAGCAGTTACCAGTTTTGGTTCAGGTCCAATCAACAGGTTCAATTTCTGCTTAAAACGGATGGTCTCGACCACGAACCATGTTTGTGTCCATGCCTAGCTGTAAAACAAAAGCCCCTCGAATTTCTTCAGTTTCTACAAGTTCAAATTCCTTTTAAATTTGTCTAAGCCATACATTTAACAGCCTCAACAAAAAAGGGAAAAACCTCAAATCAAATAACAGAGTATATATAATATATACGGCACCTAGTCATAAATTATCTAATAAACCATTCACTCATAACAATGAGAGCATCACAACGATACCAAAAAAGGTGTTGTCATCTGCTGTTGGTAAGGGTCTAATCTTGTTGAGGCTGCACACTTGCTTTCTCTCGTGTAGGTATTGTAGCAGCAGGCTGTGCACTGCTTTCTTCTAGTCGTACGCAAGGCCTCCAAATTGTTTCATTATTACCAACATCCATTAAGGCAATGCCCTTTAAGGCCAAATCTTTCCTTATCTGATCGCTTTTACTGTAGTCCTTCTCTTCCCTTGCTTTTGCTCTATCGCCAATTGACTCCAGAATATCATCCTCCGTCAATTCTGCTCTTTTCAGTGCTTTTTCTTTAAATTGCTGCAATACCTGTAAAAAAAGGAACAAATAAGTCAGGAGGATGTCATCATGAGTGGGTCCCGTGCAACACAACCCCGCATGTGACAAGCACAATGGGTTCAGAGGGTGCACCTCACAATAGCTTAAACTGGATAGCAATCCCAGAACATCCAGCACTGTCCTCACTTCTTTCTCCAAGTCCATAATATCATCATACAAAAGTTGTTGTTGCTGTTGCTTTTTCTGCTTCTGTGAATTCATTACTATAATTATCAGAGAAAATGACAAATATAGTACTACAATAAAAAGAAATGACAACATATGACTTTTAATAAGCAGTGACCATAGTGCTATATACCAGCGAGCGTAGAGACCTTACTAATGTTCATATTTAAACCGTGAAAATGGTGATATTTTTGCATTGACTATAGGGACCATATAATCAATTTTTGTCCACAAGTTCAATTTTGGTTATATTTTAGGGAAACGCCCAATTACCATAGAATATCCTCAATACGATGTCAGAAAAACAAAATAACATAAAGAAGCAACACTTCTGGTTTTAACCTTCAGCGTGTTCAATGAACCACCATTCATGACTCTCAAGACTTCTTGAAGAGCAGCATTTAATATAGAAGGTGTGTGTAAATCATCAGAGAGTCTTGACTCAAACTCATTACGCAGATTTTCTATGCACTTTTTAGCATCGGTTGAACAAAGATGGCCTGCTTTATTACCACCGCTTGTATCAACACCATTTTGCATCTTTGAAGTGGCTTCTTTACAATCTTGTAAGGTCTAGAGCACAAAATGAAAATCAAAAGTCAAGAGGGAAGCAATATACAGAAGTGGGGATAGGAACATAGGATACACATAAATGAGTCCCACTTTGACATAATCCAGGCTGTCAAAAGTATTTCCTTACCTGGTATATATAGAACACAGATTCTGAAGCAATTTCTATCTGTGAAATCGCATAATTGACAGGAGAACGGTAGTGTGTCCCCATCAGGAAATATCTCAAGGCAAGGGGATGGTAAAGCTTGGTAACCTTCCAAAATGAGATGCAAAACAATCCAAAATTACTCTGACCTTAATTAA